GGCGTATCTCTGAGTCAAGCGTCGTAACCTCGGCACTGCCACATCGGCTCAGATACAATCACCCGGTCGTCACCGCCGCTAAGGCGACGGGGCGTTTTCACGCGCTTCGGCCCCTTATACTGTCCTTTGGCGCCCAGGCAGGTCCTCCTCCTCCTCCTCTGGGTGGGTTTTGAGCCGGCTCACTCTCCTTAACTCCAGCAGTCACTATTGTCTCCTGCGGGACAAATCCTCCAGTTCTCCAGGCCGTGCGCGCTACCGTCCCATTGTGTATGTCTATGACTCCCACACTCGCCGACGTACAAACCGTCCTGACTTCTATTTCTATTGTTATTATGATTCTTTTCACGATGATCGCTGTGAAGCCGGAAAACTGTTTGTGCACGCCGTGCAATTAAGTATTCCACTCACTGGAACCGCCCTGCAGTTGTGAAGCCTCTCTGGAAACTCGGGTGTGAGACAGTCTCACACCAAATGGTGTGAGACAAAATACCTCACACAAACGGCGTGAGGTAAGCCAAACGAAGGAATGTGCTCTTGCTTGCAAATGATTTTCTTCGCAATAAAAGAAAATCGTTTGCAATTGGTTCAAAATTACACAACAGCCCAAATTGTTCGCAAGGTTTCTGCAGTGTAAGGGTTCGATTCTTCCGTCTGTATATTTCCCTGTCGAGCTGAAGAGACTCTTGCGCCCGGCGCGTGTGCGACACAGACGTACCGTTCGGGGTGCTGCCCACTGAACGGGACATCCATCACTATCTCACCGCGCGGGGATCGCGCTGCCGAGCATAACGCACTGGACATTGGGGGTATTAATAATTTTATTCACCCCCCCGAGGCCCATACGAGGAGGTCGCTTTTTTCACGTCAGTATGTGAGGAGAGAGAGAGAGAGAGAGAGAGAGAGAGAGAGAGAGAGAGAGAGAGAGAGAGGGGGGGGGGGGGGGGGGGGGGGGGGGGGGGCGAATGGGAAGACGACGCTCCCAGAGGGGGGCCAGATTAGCGACGTGGTCATAACATAAAGTGTACCCGGCCCGGACTACATAAAGAGTGAGTGGGAGTGAGAGGGTCAATCCTCATCTGTTTGGTTTCTCTCTCTGTCTCTCGCTCGATCGCTCTCGCTCTCTCTCTCTCTCTCTCTCTCTCTCTCTCTCTCTCTCTCTCTCACTCACTCACTCTTCTTTCTTTTTCTCGCTTAGCTGAACAGTCGATCGCACTGGCGTCAAGCTTTGATCAGCAGATTTCTCCATAGTATAATAACGGGCCGATAGGATTTGTTTCATTTTGGGGTTAATCATTTATTTATGAAGGCTGTTTTGTCGTGTTATCGGGGCTGTTTACCAGTGCGTTGTTGTTGTTGTTGTTTATGAAACAAATCCTCCAGGATGGCCGGGTGTTTGTCGAGGAATGACAGAGCGCCATTTGGTACGTCAAAAAAGGCGGTTTTTATCGAAAAAAATACGACTGTATGAGGTGAGGAGCATAAGAAGAGTGAGCAAAAGCCTGAGGGGACGGGACACTGTAAATGCAATCATCGTGATTTAACAAAATTTTCTCGGTTATTTTTTTATTACGAAAACTTTGTTTTTAACCAAATACGATACATCGTTATCGTTAGTTTACGAAGTGCTTTGGAAAATGCAAAGCTCTATAAAAAAATATGAGATTTGTATATATTTTGTCAATTATTATGACTCATGATTCTAAAATTTGCATTTGTTGCGAAATACATTTTTAACTTTTAAGAAATGTTTTGTAAATGGACACTTACGAAATATTTTCGTAAGTCATTTTTTATGAAGCAGTGGCTAACATTTTTCTCGTAAAATCACGAAAACTTCACTGCTAAAACAAGTGTTTAATGTTCCACGCCAATTGATTTTTAAGCAGTTCAAGTTTGCATTTTTCTGAACACATTGAGGTGTTTAACTAGATTAAACGTCAATTGGTGTTTAAACTTTAAACACTTCCGAAAAGTGTAGCACTGCACGCCATGTGGTATGGTTCCTACAGATTTGTGTCCAAGTGTGCACAATCTAAATAATAATAACTTAAACACAAATGTTAAAATTATGCACACTTGTTTTACCAGTGTTTTTACAAGTGGATTTGAATATAATCACCGTGTTAATTATTCCCCCGAGGTTTTCTTTTTTGCGCGTTTTACATCAGTTTTGCGATATGGCTGCGGCTGGCGCGGCTGGCGCGGCCCGCCCCGTGGCCTCTCTGGTCGGCACCATGGCACGTTCCGTACATTATCGGTGTCTGAGCCGCGGCTACCGAAAATACGATCCCGCCAATGCGATACGCGGTACCTTGGCGGCCGCGTTTGAGGAGGCAGTAGCTGTGGCAAATGAAGATGGAGAGAGAGACAGAGACAGAGAGAGGGTGATATACAAATTATTTTTATCGCAGCCGCTCTATGCAATAGGAGTGGCTTTGATTCATGGTCGATTCTATGATGAATCAAAGAAACGTTCCTCGAAAAACTCGAGTCAAATAAGCTACCGTTTTTATAATCTTTGCCATTAAGCCTGATTCGTTATTTTGTCATGTCGTGGTTTCAAATTTAAATTTACTCATCCCGTTTGTTTTTGTGCTTTTGTTTTTTCTTTAAACTGAATTGCTGTTCTTGTCGCTTGCCTTGTTCGGTGCTTCCAGGATGCGTTAGGAGTAGCACTCGCGAGGTGTCGGCGTAGCGTAGTGCGGCGTGGCGCGGCGTGGCGCGGCCGACAGGAGGGACCCCCAGTGGACCCCAGGGGACCCCGTGCGGCCCAGCGGGGGGCGCCGCTTGCGGCAAGGCGAGCGCTACCAGCGGGGCGCTCCGGGGCGGGGCGGGGCGGGGCGGCTCGGAGCCTGGGCCCCACAACATTACCTCCGTAAGAGAGTTATAACACAAGATCGGCTTAGCGCTACTAAGGTGTTAGAATGATGGCGAGTGTGTGTGTGCGAGAGGGAGTGAGGGAGGGAGAGAGTAGCAGGAATGTTCCTGGGCTGCTGTTGATAACTCCCGCTGGCTGCCCCCGACTTCATACCTCCCTGGGCAGTTCGGTCGGTCGGCTAGTCCGTGTGTGAGGGGAGATGGGGGGGGG